TATATTAAGTCAGGGTGAACATAGCTAAGGTATATATGCTGGCTGGCTTACTTTTCGCTCATTCACAGTCATATAAACTAATTAAAATACAAAGCCCAGGTTGAATTTAGTTCTGGGATTTTCTTTGATAATACCTATACTTAAGTACCAAAACTGTAAAGAATATGAAGATAGTCTCCTTTTCTGTCTCCAAATCCACCTGAAGTCTTCACAAGTTGTGATTATTAATTCTATTTTTTAAAAGCTAAGCATTATTTAAAGTTAATGTATTTGCTCTAATATCAATTTTTATTATAAAGATATGGGATCTGATTTCTTCCCACTCAATTCACATTTAAGGTAAGAACACTACAGCATATTTTTAATATTTAGAACTTTATTGTTTCAAAGTCTTTGATGGTTTCCATGGTATATATGAACTTGTCTAACAAAAATGAAGTTAACAGCCCAGCTGCCATGGCTCAGTGGTTGAACATCAATCTATGAAAGAGGAGGTCACAGTTTGATTCCCAATCAGGGCACATGCTAGGGTTGTGCGCTTAATTACCCAGTGTGGGGTGTGCAGAAGGCAGCTGATCAATGATTCTCTCTCATCATTGATGTTTCTATCTCTCCCTCTCTCTTCCTCTCTGAATACAATACAATTATATTTAAGAAAAATAAAGTTAACAGATCCAGGAAGGTTTTTTTCTAAATATGAAAAGAAACCAGGATATTTGCAAGCAAGTACTATTTTACACTTATTGATGATCTTTAAAAGTCATGTAATCAATAATTTACACGTAATCAATAATCTATCAAGAGTTATTTAGTACATATTCGACAGGCACAATTTTTTTTAAGTGTCTTGACATTCAGACAGAAAAATCTGAGTGGCCACGACATTCAGGGAAAATATTGGAGGGAATTTAAACACAAGTGGTGTGTAAAGATTTTGACTGGAGTCAAAATGCATGGGATTTATTCATAGTTACTCTCTCCCTCTTGTTACCCATCTAAGTAGGTCACCTTGACCTAATCAGTTGAACTATTTAATGCTCTTTACATATTCATAAAATTTGGATAAGAATTAGCAATTTCTTTATGAGGTTATTTAGGGTATTAAATTAAATAATGCACCTAAGCATTGACACAGTGCCTGGCACCTACTTAGTCTTTAATGAGCATTTGTTGCTGCTGTCATTATCATCCTCACTGTTCAGCCAGCCAGAGGGGATGGGGAAGGCCCATCGGAAGCCAGACACTAAATTAACCCCAGGTTTGAAAAGACTGCAAGGACACACTTTTAGAATAAAGGCCATGTGATAAGAAAGTATGAATGTGTATGTTGAGAAAATATAACTAGATTATTAAACAATGGGATAAATTCATTAAAGACAAATACAAAATTGGTTACTAAAGGAAACAGAATATGTTCAAATTGTACCCCTAGTTCTCTAAGTGGGAAAGTGTTCCACCATAACCCCATGCTTAGCATCTCCTGCAGAGACCACCCTGAGATAGAAAGTTCATGAGTCTGACACACATAGCCTTTCTCATATTTCTGCATTGACAAAATTAGACCACACCTATATGACAAGGCCCTTTTTTTTTTAGCAATGTGGGCGATAGCAGAGTAAGGCCATATTTGCTGCTTTCTAGTTGTTTAGCCAAAGAATCAAAACAAGAAAGTAGTTGGGTTTATACTAGGACCAGTGCACTAAAAGGCAAATTCTACTCAGCAAACAAACTAAGTATTTACTATGAGGTGACTACTCAAGAGTCTGTTGGCCATGGGTTTTATATTTGAAACTAGAGGCCCAGTGCATGAAATTCGTGCACTGGGGGGCGATGTCCCTTAGCCCAGCCTGCACCCTCTCCAATCTAGGACCCCTCGAGGGATGTCCAACTGCCGGTTTAGACTGGATCAGGCCTAAAACAGCAGTTGTACATCCATATCACAATCCAGGACTGCTGGCTCCCAACCACTTGCCTGCCTGCCTGATTGCCCCTAACCGCTTCTGCCTGCCAGCCTGATCACCCCCTAACCACTCCCCTGCCAGCCTGGTTGATGCCTAACTGCTCCTCTGCTGGCCTGGTCACCCCTAACTGCCCTCCTCTGCAGGCCTTGTCCTTCCCCACTGCCCTCCCCTGCGGGCCTGATCGCCCCCCAACTGCCCTCCCCTGTAGGCCTGGTTGCCCCTAACTGTCCTCCCCTGCTGGCCCAGTCACCCCTAACTGCCCTTGCCAGCCTGGTTGCCCCCAACTTCCCTCCCCTACTGGCCTGATCTCCCCTAACTGCACTCCTCTAAAGGCCTGATTGCCCCCAATTGCCTTCCCTTCCAAGCTTGGTCCCTCCCAACTGTCCTCCCCTGCTGGCCATCTTGTGCTGACCATCTTTGACCACAGGGGAAAGCCATCTTGTGTATTGAAGTGATGGTCAATTTGCATATTACCTCTTTATTATATAGGCTTTTTAGTTCAGAGATTAGTCAGTGGTTCCCTTCTACTTGTACAAAAAAAAAAAAAATATTCAATTCAGATTTCTTTAATTCATTTTCTTTTTTCTTTTTTAAAGGGAAAAACGATATATTTGGAGAAATGGTTCATCTTTATGCCAAACCTGGAAAGTCTAACGCAGATGTAAGAGCTCTAACATACTGTGATTTGCATAAGATCCAGAGAGAAGACTTGTTAGAGGTTCTGGATATGTATCCTGAGTTTTCTGATCACTTTCTCACAAACCTAGAGTTGACTTTCAACCTAAGACATGAGAGTGCAAAGGTATATGGGAACTGTTTGCTTATTTCTTATACTTTTGACATTTTATTTTTTTGTTGGATTGCTCAAATACCTCTGAAAGGTCAAGCAAAATATTGCAACAAAACTACCAATTCTGAATATTTGGAAGAAAAAGCCTACTTAATATTGAATTTCTAAATTATAGGGAATGAATTTAGTCTAATTACTTTCAAATATATTAAGTAACTCTAAGTAGTCAATTAAATCTTACCTCTTAGGAGCTCTTAGGTGGCATACTTGATATAACCTTGGCTTATATTGGACAACTATGTGTAAGAAATGGGTGATTCTAGAGTATTGAAAATTCCCTAACCAAATTTATCTTATACAGAGGTTAAATATTCTCTCAGGTATTTTTTATACCAGACATTGGTTAGTAATGCCTTTTTAATAATAAAAAAAGGTAAACTTATTCTGCTTTATATCCATATTTAACACAATTTCCAAATGACATAGGTAAAAATTAATCAGGTTTATACCTGCATCAAAATTAGTACTTCAGAATGGATAGCATATAGTCTAATAAAAATATTTTCAGTGATTTTAGATAAAATCTTTTTAAATGAGTTTTGAGAATGTAGCCCTTATATCTCTCACTCTCCTCCACTATGAACATACATCCTTATGATCTACCACTGTTTTAAGAATATAGAACTTATGTAGCAGCCCACATTTATTATTAGATTATTCCTCCACCCTCCCCCCTCCAAAAAAATCCTGTAATCCAAACTCCAATTCTAAATATTTTTTTGGTCAGAAATAAAATTTTGGGCTTTTGAAATTTGCCAATGTATCTTAATGCTAACTATATACTCTCTGCAAATAAAGATCCTCAAGTAAGTAGCTAGGTAAAAGATGGCAGATTTAATTCTTCCTGGAGTTACAGTCATTCCCATGTACTGTGAGAGACTTAAATTTGTTTTATTTACAGTTGACATTCAATATTATTTTATTATTAGTTTCAGGTGTACAGCATAATGTTTAGACAATTATACAATTTACAAAGTGTCCTCCTGATAATTCTAGTACCCACCTGGCACCATGCATAGTTATCACAATATTCCTATTTCTTATACTGTACATTGCATCCCTTTTCCTTTTTCACTATTTTGTACTTCTAGCTCCCTTCACCTTTTTCACTGGAATACCCAACCCTCCTCTCATCTAGCAACCCTCAGTTTGTTCTCTATATCTGAGTCTGTTTCTATTCAGTTTGTTTATTTAGTTCTTTAGGTTCTACATATAAGAGAAATTATATGGTATTTGTCTTTCTCTGACTGGCTTATTTTCTTTAGCATAATACCCTCTAAGTTCATCCATATTGTCCCAAATAGTAAGATTCTTTTTTATGGCCAAGTAACATTCCATTGTATATATGTACCACCACTTCTTTTTTAAAAAAAAAATATGTTTTTATTGATTTTAGAGAGAAAGGGAGAGATAGAGGGAGAAAGTTAGAGAGAAAGAGGGAGAGATAGAAACAACAATGAGAGAGAAACATCAACATTGATCTGCTGCATCCTGCATGCCCCTTGCTAGGGATTGAGCCTGAAGCCTGGGCATGTGCCCTGACTGGGAATTGAACCAGTGTCCTCCTAGTGCATGGGTAGATGCTCAACCATTGAGCCACACCATCTGGACTCACCACTTCTTTATCCATTTGTCCATTTATGGGCATTTGGGTTGCTTCCATATCTTGACCCTTGTGAATCACACTGCAATGAAAGTAGGGGTGCATATGTTTTCCAATTAGTGTTTTGGATTTCTTCGAACATATAACCCAGAAGTATAATTTCTGGGTCATAAGGCACTTTATTTTTAGTCTTTTGAGGAACCTCCATACTCTTTCTATAGTTGCTACACGAATTTGCAATCCTACCAATAGTGCACAAGGGTTCAATTTTCTTCAATCCTTGTCAACATTTGTTTATTGATTTATTGATGATGGCTATGCTGAAAAATATGAGGTGATATCTCATAGCTTTAATTTGCATTTTTCTGACAATTAGTGACATTGAGCATATATGTATTAGTTATCAGTATGTCCCCTTTGGAGAATTGTCTTTTCAGGTCCTCTGCCCAATTTATAATTGGATTGTTTGTTTTCTTGGTATTGATTTGTATGAGTTCTTTATAAATTTTGGCTATTACCCCCTTGTACAATGTATCATTGGAGAATATGTTCTCTATTCAGTGGGTTAGTGTTTTGTTTTGTTTTTTCACTTTCTTGATGAATTTCTTTTCTGTGCAAAAACTTTTTAGTTTTACTTTTAAGGTCACTAGGGTACTAGATTTCACATATAAGTGAAATCATATAGTACTTATCTTTCTCTGACTGGCTTATTTTACTTAGCATAATGCTGTTCAGGTCCATCCATGCTATCAAAAAGGGTAAGATTTTCTGCTTTTATGGCTGAGTAGTATTCCATTGTGTAACTATACCACCTTCTAATCATTACCATGCAGTTTAAACATCACAGCTAATTATAATTAGTTCACTCTCTTTTTTCTCTGAAATAATACACATTCTGCAAGGATTTTAAAAATTGTTAGTTTTATTTTAACTTTACAAAGTTACATAAAATACATTCCACATGAAAGAACATAGCCTCTAAATGTTGTCAACATCATCCCCAAACATTTCTGATAAATAACTTCTAAAACTATAATTTTGCATATTATGGAAAATGGGAAATGATTAGAATTATTCTATCAGTCTACTTTATAATTTAGAGATAACCATTAAGCAAAGCATCATGTCTCTTTATTTTAAGTCTAATAATTAAGTCTCACGGTGGTTGAAATCATATGAAATTATGAAATAATAAAGAGTTTACTGATAATACATTATTTAAATTGAATAATCTTCCATTTTATCTTCATGTGCTATTAACAAAGGCTGATCTCTTACTACGATCACAGTCCATGAATGACTCAGAAGGAGACAACTGTAAACTACGAAGAAGGAAATTATCATTTGATAGTGGAGAGACAGGTAATTCATTCTATTTATAAAGTTGAATTGTAGAGCATGTGGTTATTAGCTCTTTTTACTTAATTGCTCATTATAATTCTGATGTCAAGGGGACACTTTATTCAGGTTTTAGGAAGGCAAATCCTTTGCTCTTATTCAGTAGCTAATGATATGGTTCCTGATTGACAGCTGTCAGCAATGTCATTCAACAAAGCCATCTGATAGCTACAAGGACATCACAAATAGAGAAATAGCATAGATTTTTTTAAAGGACGCCAATTAATAACAGCTGAATAACTATGCCTCAGAATTCTGAGCAGAGTGTTCTGGAGAGAAGAGTCTTCTCACAGGCTCAGTGCTTAGTCCTCACACATGCAGGACATGCATGAAGATGGTATTCTCTGAGGTACTTGCCATTCTTTGTCCTCTCTAGAATTTTCTGTCCTTTTAACTACTCTTTATGTTTCACTCATAAATACAACAAACATACATTTAACATTTCATATTTTTAAAGAGCTACTCCATCTCTGAGAAACAAATGGTATAAAACAACCCTTGTCCTCCCGAAGAAGAGAGATGATAAACCCGCTATTATTTCAAATATAAATACTAGGTGCTGTAACCAGAGTAAGCAAACCTCCGTGGGAAGCCAAATGAGGATACTTCTAATTGTGCCTGGGCAGATGGGAGAAGGCTTTCTCGAAGAAGCCTCCACTCTTACCTTATGCTGATCCATCACACATTCCAGTCTTCACCTCATTTGGCCTCTCAGCAGAATCACTGTAAACTAATTCTCTTCTTCTTCTTGTGTATTTCTCTCTTGGCATCTGTGACTCTGCACTCTTCCTGTTTTCCTCCTACTCTCAGTAATTCTTTGAAGATAGTCATAAAATTATTATCTTTTAAACTCGGCCATTAGTTACTAGAGTTTCTCAAGGCATCGTCCTAGGCCCTCTTCTCTTCTTATTCTAAGTTTATGCTTACAGTTTTATGATAGTCTCACATAGGAAGTGTGCATATTTAATCCCAGACCATTTAAGCTTCAATCTCATACTAGTATACCCAACTGCTTATTAAACGATCCACTTGAGATCTCAAAGGCAGCTCAAACTCAAGAGTTCCTAAACTGAACTCACAACGTCCCCCTGGAAACCTGTCTCTCCATCAGTTGCTATGTCTTTCAATGGCACTACCATTCAATCAACTGCACAGCATTACCTCACTACATACCTACTCAACTAGGCACTGAAACTCTTTGGGCTTCAATCCTCATCTCTCCCCACCCCCTTCCCATCTTGCCTAGCACATGATGCTGAGGAGCTTACATTTAAAAGGATATATTTTAAAAGAATAGGTATAAAGAGAACCTTGAACAAATAGAAGCTTAACATATTGAATCACTTCTCTCTTAAAATGAATTTGTTGATGACAGTGGTTTGTCCTCGGGAGCTTAGCATTTCTTTTGGAAAAATAATTCCATTTCCTGACAGGAAAGAGCCATCAGTTTAGTTCTCAATTTGAGGAGGACCCCTTGTATTTCTTTTAATCTTCATCTGAAAATATGGTTTTTTTTAAAATATATTTTTGTTGTTTTCAGAGAAGAAGGGAGAGGGAGACAGAGAGAATGAGATAGAGAGAAACATTGCTATGAGAAACATCAATCAGTTGCCACCCATTCGTGCCCTGACCAGCAATTGAATGTGCAAAATGTTGGTGTACAGGAGGACACTCCAACCAACTGAGCCACCTGGCCAGGGCAGACACCTTGTATTTTTTGAAGGTATCATCTAGTAGTTCTCTCTTTCCTTCCTAAAATTCTGGCATGGAGGTGCCCAGGACCTCCCTAATTTGACTAGGGTCATTGTACCAGGAGGTGCTATAGTTCTTGAGATAGAAATAAAAAGCTATTGTTACAGATAATGAAGAATAAAAATGAATCTTCAATGACCTATTGAGTGGACATGAGCATTGATAATATGATTGGGTAGAATAGAAGTAAACGAGGTATATCCAGTAAGAACATGTTGAAAATATTCTCTAAGGAGTCTACTAAGTTAGATTAGATTGTGCGTATCTCAGAGTGTGCCATTATGACCAATTGGGTTATGGGGAATATTGGTTTTAAATTTTTATATTTTTCATATTTTATAACATAGATAATATATTAATACAACAAAATGTATGCTCCACCCTGTATAATGGCACATGAGCTACAAACACACACACACACACACACACACACATTTTTACCAATAGCATTTTTGTGACCAAACATTTGAAATAGTCTGCTCAACTCTTTCTAGGGACAGAAAATTTAGTATCAAAGTTAGTACTAACGATTGATTTAGGGAATCAATAACCATTTGTCAGAGAATAAGCCAATGAGAACAGCAATGCAACAGATCCAAGAAACAAGGAAAAATAATCAAAATACTGTTAATGATGTGTCCATGCCAACCAAAGGAGTGGAAATTAAAGTAAAACAAAATGTTCACCATCCTTTTTCCACTGGACTTAGATGGTACCACACATCGCCTTGAAAACAGGAACCCATTTTAAGATATATTATTTACACATCATAACAGTAGGGGAGAAAGGCTGCAGTTTTCTCACTTTCCTACCCATATAATTTTTATTAAAATTGGCAGGCACGTCTATATATTTCAACTGAAGACATGTAATGTCCCAAAATATGAGAGTGGAAATATCTTGAGCTCATCGCACCTGGCACTTCATTTATTTAGCAATAAACTTTCTCTCTTTGTAATAGTAGCTTAGTGATTAATGATTTCACAGGGTCATCCGAAAGTCAGTACGCTTCGAAAGTGTTTCTCCAAAATAAAATAACTTCTATGAAAGTTGGCCTCTCTGGAATATCTTCTTTAATAACAAATAGTGACTGTCTCTCATCCATTTCAGCAATACTAGTTTATAAGTGTGTCTTTATTTCTATTTTTAAGATAGTAAATCTAAGGAAATAATATATTTTAGAGGTCAATTTTCCAATGAAATCAATTTTTAAAATGCATCTTCCTGGAAATGCTCAGCTTTTTGAAAAATTGCTACCAGTAAGAAATCTAACATTCAGATGCTGAGAGAGTGCATGAAATGTCTCCCCTTGTCCAGAAGTTGATCTACCTGTTAGTTCTGACAAGTAAAATGGTAATTAATCTGAGAGAAAGATTCCATCTGGACACTCCTTTTCCGTGCTGTTCAAGTCATTCTGAACACAGAGAGACACCGCAGGGCCAATCACAAAACGCTTTAGAATTGTGTCCTACGAGGAAAAGGAAGATGAATTGTCAGCCTGCAGAAACAAAAGGTTTTAAAAATAGTTTTCAGTCATCTGAATCAGAAAGCAACTTTCAGGCTTAACTAAACAGGCAATTTTTTTTTTCAAAATGATGGTAATAGTGATTAGACAATCTCACTGCTAGCAAAGAGGAAAATGTTAAACACTTTCAGATCAATGCCCTCAGAACAATATTTCTAAGTAGAATAAAAATAGCATTAAGAAAAAAGTGGTACCTAATACTATTTAATAGCCATCAAATAATTTACTTTAACTAAAAAAAAGGCAGAAATGAAACAGGCGAGGTACCTGGAAGCTCATTAGAATGCATTTCAGCCCAATTTCATGTATTCCATCAGCCAACCTCCAGCCTCAGCCTGAGCAGTTTCTATTTTTAACCCACAAATAGATTGTCATTTCCACTTTCATTGTAGATCATAGAAGATGAAGCTGTGATTTATTTAGTAGGGAATAGAAAATTGTTGTTGCAGACAAGCTGCATCAAAGAAACCATTCAGATGGCCTGCGTTCTGGGAGGCAGCTGGCTGACTGTCAGGTGGCAAGGAGCATGGAAATAAAGATGGAGGAATTCTCCTTAAGTATTGGAACAATTCAAAGATATCAAACGATTTCTTCTTCTTTCATGATCCTGCTTTTACATGGAATTTTTGCTAAAGGATTTAGATACCAAGAACATGAAGTAATCTTCATTTCACTTTAGAAATAAATAATAATCCTTCACTCACCACATTCTGTGAATACTTAACCTGAGTGGAAGTCAGCAAATTACAATTTAATTTAACAATATATGTTAACTGATGAATTTGTCCCTAAGCATCCAAAATTAGACCATAAATTTGTAAATAAAGACTGAGGTTCATGTAGCAAGTCCAACAAGGACATTTTACTGGTGATGTGTGAGGATTTAAAAATCTACAGAGGCCTTCCAAGACCTCTCAAGCCAAAGAGGCAGAGTGATTCAATATTTTTAAGCTACAATTCAACACAAATATTAACGTTAGCATTTTCATACTTAGAGCCAAATGAATGAATGGTTAAGTCAGTTTGCATTTGATTCTGCCAGAAAGGATACCCTGAAGGTGTTTAAAAGAAAAGCTCATTCAAACGCCCCTGGTGGTCACACTGCACAAAGGTTTACTTAGCAGCAGCAAACAGATGCAATTCACTTGGCAGATATGAGGATAATTTAGAAAAGTGAAGCTTTTACTTTTTTAAAAAAAAAACAACTATCAACCTAAAATTGGAAACTCTTATTTCTTGAGGAACAAAATTATATATTCATAAAGTGGGGAATGCTGATCAAATTTTCAGGAGGGGAGGAGTGAACAACCAAAGTAAACAGGAAGAAATGACCAGAATGAAGACCAGAAGCTGGAAGAGGCTGTGTCAGTGACTCTGGAGGAAAGAGGGTTTGTGCAGGAAGAGCTGATCGAAATACTTACAACAATTAGATTAGTGGCTGAGTAGAGAAACTTAAGTGACACTGAGTGATCAATGATGTCTACAGTGCTTGAGCTCGGAAAGGTCTGTGGTCTTCTCAGCAAAAATGAAGTCACTGAGCAAGTGTGAATTCTTCAGGACAATAAATGGAGCTACCCCCTTTTGTTATATTAACTTTAATTGACAGAACACTGACTCCTTAATAACAAGTTTACATGAGGCCGACTTTTTAACTCTATCCATTTTTACACTGGGTTGCTTTCTGGCTTCTCATATTTTAAATTATGATTTTTTAAATAAAGAAAAAATCTCTAATTTATACTTCATATGGGAATTTGAAAAAACAATTGGAAGTGTCTCTGGAGTGGCCTTAAATTAGTTTTTTGGTTGTTGTTTTTATGTGTTTTTTTTTGCCTTCTATAACAATCGAAGTAAGCACAACCAATCAGAGCATAGATGGAGACACTGCCTCAGCCATTTCTCTAGAAAGTGATATAGTATGTTGGTTAGTTATTAGCAGTAACCAAATGGAGAATTATACTGTCTCCGCAGGAAACAAATGGAAACAACCTCTGGTATTTGTCTCTTTGAGTGTTCTTGCTGACGTACATTCTAACACAAACTTAAGGGCTGAAATTATCCTGATATTTCTGCATAAAACAGTTAATAGGCACTACTGGCTATACTGTAATTGGTAAACCCACCTTAATTACTGTATTTAGCTTTATGTTCTTTGCAACATGCTACACAAACAAACTCCAGAATTCCAAAGCCATTACATTGATGCCTGCAGTTGAAATTCAGCTGCCAGCCTTTAGCACAAGGAGCTTCCAGTTTACACCTTTGCAATGTATGAAGGTCTCTACAGATGCCAGGGTGTGGAATTTAAAAACAAACAACAAGCTGCCTAGTGCTGATATTTTAGAATTGGGATGCATTTCTCCTCCCTTTTTATTTCCTTAAGAGATAATGCACCAGATTTCAAGAATACAAGTAACTGTTGAGCAGGCATAAGCCTGCAAGTTATCTTACAGTGTTATTTTTCCCTGAAATAAAATATTATTACTTTCCAGATACTCTTTTAATTTTAAAATGAATCATGTATTTCATTAGAATAATCTAATATTCCCCAAATTAAGAAAAAGTCTACATAATTAGCTACTTTTTTAACAGAAAAAAAAGAGAAAGAACAACTTTTCTGGTGATTTTATAGAAATTAAGTTATTCAAAGAACATCACTATTGAAAAGATCGTTGGTGTATAAGTAGTGTAATATTCATAGAGTGTCATATTTAATTATCTTCTATAAAATAACTTTCCTTGATAGATTTTGGGAAAGGAAACAGTACAAATGATGCTGAAGATTCTGGAGACACCATAAGAAATTATCAGAGTTCCAAAAAACACACGGAAGAGAAAAAAAGCAGATCTTCATCTTTCATCTCCTCCATTGACGATGAACAAAAGCCTCTCTTCTCAGGAATAGTAGATTCCCCGCCAGGCGTAGGGAAACCAACTGGACTCAATTTTAAAGACGTAGTACCCACATCAGGAAGAATTCACATAGATAAAAGAAGTCACTCTTGCAAAGGTAACCGAGTTTCTCGGGAATCAGGTTCTCTCTCTGGTGCTCATCATAAAATGGCTACTTTTCACAAATAGCATATGTTACTCTCATTTTTTGCGATTTCATAAAATATTTGCAAAGAGTTCAAATCTCAGATCACCTACAAATCGTTTGTACCATTCTGAAATAGTGGTAATTATTCCCAAGCAGGAGAGGTTTTTTTGTTTGTTGTGTCTTTATCACCAGTCACACTTAATGTAATGACATGGAGAAGCCTGATGGCTTATAGCATGAAAGGCCAATGCAATAACACTACAACAAGTGCTCAAAGATTCTTTTTACTGGGAATTAATGAGAAAATTAGTGGAAATACCTCTAAATACAGTATGCTCTTGATCCAACTCATTTGAATACATTTATTTAACATCTTCACCAAAAGAAACACCCAAATATATGGGTTTTGCTGCAGAAAATATGCATGAGAAGGGTAATAACGAATGTAAATTTGATGCTAAAGGATGGGAAATTCAGAAAAACTTGAGAACTATCACTTGGAAGAACAATCAGCTTAGAATAACCAGAGCTATATCTACAGATCCTGTTAGATTTATCTATTAAGTGGGTGCGAGAATAGGTGTGGCTGAGATTACCTGGGTTCCATTTATAGCTCTGTCACTTGCTCCCATTAAGACTTAGGAAAAGTAACTGACAGACCCACTAAGACTCAGTTTGCACATCTTTAAGGTAGGAATAATATTTTCTAAATAACTAATCAATTGTCATTGTTAACAAGATAACAAGCATAAATTATCTATTCTGAAATACAGTCCCCAATTTGGTTTAGTATTTTCTCACAGGTTTTATTTTTCTAACCCTTTAATCATTGAATATATCCCTGCATATATAAAAAAAATCAAAGGCGTAGAAAAAAGTCAAAAGAATATAAAAGAAATAAAATAAAAATGGGATGTTCTCAGACTGGCAGGATAGCAAAATTATGGGACAAAGTAAATATTATCTATCCATGTCACCATTATTTGCAGTGACTATATTTGACAACAAAAGTCTTATTGAATCCTGGATGCTTAGGCTTTACATTTTTCCACAGCTACTTTCCCTATCTTATCAAATCAGTTTTTGCCATGACCCCTCATTGAAATAAGCTAAGAATATGTTCTCTGGACAATCTAAAATCTTGATGAAGTGGGTGAAAATAGTACCTCATTTATCACAGTGGAAGAATGGAATATTAGATGTCATTACCAAATGCCCCATTTTAGTTATTTATGAAAAAGAATTTTGGGAAGTGCTAAAAAGAGGAAAAGGTTGTATTGTGGAAGTAAAAGTTCTGAAGAGCTTGATGAACCATCTCTACTATCTCCAAAAGTCAGCCTAATGTGGGCCTGACTTTTTTTTAAAACTATGTTTTGAGTTTTACCACTGGATTTTGATCCTCAAGTGACAAGTTATTGAAGATATATTTTTGGGATTTTATTCAACTTTATAATACCTCTGCTGACTGAATTTTCATGCCCTTCATCTTATGGTTTTTTTTGCCACTTCTTCCAATTATTTTTAATTATTCTACATGAACAATAAAATAGTATTCCAACAAATCATTTTAATATCTGTAAATTTTTAATTTTCAAAAATTTATAATGCAATCTTTATTCAAATAGTAAATAACTACTTTGAAACTGCATAGCTAAATATGAATGTCAATTGAATAAATACAATTGATGTAGTATAACATCAATGTGACACACAGTTAACCTGGTTAATTAATATGATTAACAAATAAAGAATTATTAAACCACTGCAAATTTCATTCCCTAATGAATATTTAAGGTGAAGTAATGAGGGATGTTTGAAAATTTGAATAACATGTAGGGTGCACCTGTAACTGCTGCAATTTGAATCACTTACCCCCTACAATTTTTAGATTTTTCATTCGTAGGAAATTTCCCTCACTCACATTCCTGGCATTTGTCCTGCAAAGCACCTTTCAGGCAAAACTAAAAAGAAACAAACAAGCAGAAAAAGAAACAGACTCTGATCGTACTTAGATTGAGGTCAAAAGTTGACTCTAGGAAAATTGTGTATCCAGAGAAAAGTGAAAGTTTACTTTCTGTTTATCCATTTCCAGGAATGTGTCTTGCAACTATAGCAACATTTTCCAAGGCAACCGAGTGCAGACTTTTTTTTGAGCTATATTTAGAAAGATATTTTTATTAAGACCCTAAGCAGGATTTCCCTCTTGAACTTTTTTTTCATATTGCTGCTAAAACAGGCACACCATACATATCTAAATTTTAATAAAAGAGTACGTTATAGTTAAGGAAGCCTCTATTTAAGTTTACATTTTATTCGTGTCTTCTAAATGAACATGATCAGGTTTTTTTCCTTTGAGCATTGAAGAAAAAACATAAGCCTGCATCATTTATCCCATGTGATCCACTGTTGTTCTTTAAATATCAATTTATTATATCTGATTTAAGAATGAGAGACCTATTAAGCATAAGCAGAAATTCCGTACACTTTCTCAGCACAAAACCTTTGAGCAAAATATGTAACTTCATCCTACCAGTTCTTATTATCTTTTTTAAAAAAATTTCTACATTAATCAGCTAGCAGGGAGCTAGACAGGGACAAATATTGACATCTCCAGACCATTAATATGTGTGTTCTGAATGTTTGTTTGGCATTGCTGCTCCAAAATTGAAAACCTAGTCCGTTGGACATTGGAGCTTTGTTTTTTATTTAAAATGTGACATGCCTGTGAATAATAAGTCATACTTTTCACTGAAAATTTGCTGATATATTAGTTAAAACTCCAGGAATTTTGTATTTTTTAAATTTTTTTTTTATTGATTTCAGAGAGGAAGGGAAAGGGAGAGAGAGAGGAGAGAGAAACAGCAATGATGAGAGAAAATCATTGATCGGCTGCCTTCTGCACACCCCCTATTGGGGATCTAGCCCACAATCCATGCATGTGCTCTGACCAGGAATCAAACCATGACCTCCTGGTTCATAGGTTGACACTCAACCACCGAGCACACCAGCTGGGCAGGAATTTTATATTTTTATGCTTATTTTCATTTTGTGGAGTTCAGTATATTATATACTGTTGCTTTTAAAAACAAACAAACAAAAAACACCAGGATCCCATAGGCTAAGGAAGCTTTAATCATGAAAAACCATTCTGGAATTCACAGCATGCTCTCTGAGGTCTGCTAGCTATTTCAATAGAACAGACAACCCTAACCTGAGATTTTTCCACTGCTGTCTTTGAGTATGCTAATCCCTTTGTTATAGCTTCAGCCAATTGAAGCAGAAATTGTAGGAAATTGTAGACACTTTATTAGAGAAAGTTCTGTGTATTCAGTAATAAAAGGATAGTGATAGAAAAACCATGAAAAAACGAATATAGGAATTTTGTCTGTGACTTGGAGAAAGGGCATGCTTTTGAGCTATCTGACTGTACTTTGGAGAAACTGTAGCAAAAGAAGGGATTTCGAGAAGTCCTACACATTCTGCTCCCTATTTCTAAAATTATAGCTAATCCTCACCAAGTCAGTTACTTTTCATCTATTTTTTAATCAGCCAAGGATATAAATTCCTTAACTTGACATAACTTATGCAGAGTTTAATCAAAGTTCCCTGTCAAAAAAAAAGTCTATAAAGCCAAAATCACTACCTCTAATTCAAATCTGTTGCAATGTGATAATTAAAAACCTCTTTAGATCATCTTTTCCTACCAGTTCTCCCAGTGAGGAAGAAATGTTGCCCTTTCTTTACCTGAAAAATAAACTCCCAATTCCAAAAGTATTTTTTCATGAGTTTTATTTTCTACTTTTTAAAAAAATATATTTTTATTGATTTCAGATAGGAAGGGAGAAAGAGATAGAAAAATCAATGATGAGAGAGAATCATTGATCGGCTGCCTCCTGCATGCCCCCTACTAGGGATCAAGCCTGCAACCCGAGCATGTGCCCCTGACTGGAATTGAACCTGGGACCCTTCAGTCCGCAGGCTGATGCTCTATCCACTGAACCAAACCAGCTGGGCTGTTTTCTAACTTTTTAATCATTTTAAGCCTTCTCTAAAATATGTAAAATGTAGAGGGTAAGAAAGCATAGCAAGTCATCAAAAGCAAAACAAAATAGGAAAATGATATTATTTGTTCTTAGATATTGACAACTCGCAAATACAGATTGTAGGAGAAACAGTAAATTAAAAGAAGCTCAGAATACGAATCTCTGTATGAAAAATGCTCAAAACTTTGATAAGCTGAATTTCTCAGGATCAGGGCCTGTGTCTTCTTTGTCTTTAATTCCTCCGCATTCAGCAGAATGGCACATAACAGACACACAGAACATTTGAAAAGAGGACATGAACAGATTGGCCATATGTGTTCAAGTTTAGTAACATAAAAATATTCTAAATACAAGAGACACAGAAAACCTATTGGAAGTTGATGTGACTATTAAAGGACAGTGCAGAAGGAGCCCCGAGAAATAGAAACTTGAAAGAGTATCATGGGACTAGAGGACCTTTACTTAATGTCCCCATCATTTATGGCTCATTGTTTCTTGGCTTGACCTTGAGTTGGGTTGGCCTGAAGGAATCCCCCTGAATATCAGCTCTTGCCATGGCTCCTCTCTTGGGCTCACTCTGAATCATGAAGTATGCAAACTGCCCTGTGGGAAAGAGCCCTAAAATCTTAAACCCAGGCGTGAAGCATTACAAACAAATGGTGCTGTTTCTTCCCAACATAAAATCACAAAATCACTGCTCTCTAATCAGCAGTGGGTTGCCATCCATGTTTACTCTTAGCACAAACAGAAGACAAAGTTGTGTTTAAGATTCAAAAGTGGCTACCTGTTTTTAATCATCTGGAAATGGTTGAGAGAGGTGGCAAGCAGGGTCAGGGTGAGCTAGCAATTGGTCGTGGTCCCTGGAGAGGACCCTGAGTCACTCTGGGTCTCTGTCTTTGGGCTAAACTTTAAGATCCCTCCTTGCTTGTCTTGTGGGTGTCTGTATGACCAATGCAAATGGGCACACAAAGAAGTTGACATCCATCTTGCTATTTCCCACAGATATCTCTGACACAAGAAGCTGGGAGCAAGGAAATGCCCAGACTCAGGCCGATGAGTCTAGTAGTCACTCAGCACCGCAGCAAACTGCCTGGGGGATCTCTGAAACCGAAAGTGACCTCACTTGTGGGGAAGTGGAGCAAAGGTTGGATTTGCTGCAAGAACAACTCAACAGGTATAAGCAATGTCAGGGCTAAGGGGATATAGACCGAGCCCTTAGTTGGGTCTAGCTTTACTCCTTGTAAGTAGCAAATTCCTTGTGCCACAATCTCATATTTTTCTTCTACACTTAGTGATTTAAAATAAGACTAGAAGTTGACAGAATTATTCATCTGTGTTTCAAAGAGCATTTATTTAGAATACTCCAAACTCTGGGCAGCATAAATCCTTTTTCGTTACTTGCCATAAAACTAGTATATCACCCACACCAACTGCCTAAGGAAATGTTTTATATTTAGCTAGCTTATTGACAAATACCCTTCCTCTTTTAATCCTTCTTTTATACTTTTTGGTTGTTTCTGATAATTTAGTATGTGTTATGACATTTTTTAAAAGCATCAACAAAATTCTTTAAACATTTAGTTATTTAGTCAACTTGTTTAAAATGTGATTGAATTGAAAATCTCACAGAGTTGAAGCCCATATCCTCTCCATTATTTTCTTCAATCTTTGATCTATACCTTTTTAAAATGAGGATTTAACTTAGGTTTTGGGAAGGATGGAACTCTTTAACACAAATCTAAATTGATTTTTTTTAAATTAAACTGGTCAATAAGACTCATAAAAAAATGAATGAATGAGTATGATATAGCTACTGTAGTTGTGGTTCATGTGGGACTTTATACTGATTTAAAGGTAGACCCCAGGTACATCACCAGGCAAGGTATTCTAGGGGTCACAAATGAAAAACTTCATGAGTCAAACACAGTGTTAGCAGGGAGATGAGGAGACCTTGTTTCTTGGCATCTTGAAGGAAAGGTTTCAATCAAAAGACAAAGTGTAGCAAAGTAAGAATTTATTGGCCACAGCAAAAATATACTCAGTGAAACAAGGAAGGGCGTAGGAGGAGTAGCAGGAGAGACTAGGCTGGGCTGCTGTGGCTCACTGAGCAGTCAGAGGAAAGAGGGCCTTGGACACAGGTTCAGGGGTTAGACCAGGACCAGATACCACTGCCCATTGCTCCCCTGGTTACAGGGGTGGGGATTGTCCCACCCTCGGGCAGCATAAGGCCTGTGAAATAATTTGGTTTGGCCCTGCCAAGGCATTAGGAGGGAGTTCATTAAATGTTTGACCAAATATAGCGGGCTAATTTTTAAGTTGATAATTTTGTATGGCCTAGGCCCTAAGATTGTTGTTATAAATATCAAAATGGCTCTTAGCAGAAAAAAGTTCCCCCATCCCTGCCTTAGAAGAAAAAAGGGGAAGGATGGCACAGGCATGCTCCCCTAGAGGAGAGTAAGCCCCAGGCCCTTCATCCTGAGCATATGTAACTCTCTTTTGCAGGTGGAAATCTTAAGGGAGGCCTCAGGGGCGGGGCTCGGTAAAATATTCATCAGCTTTCCAGGTGTGCTCTTTCAGGCTCTCCACTGAGTGGTCGGTGCCAGGGCAGGGGGTCATTAGTCAGTGTAGCTGGTCCTGAGGCAGCCCGGGCATCACTTGTCTGGTTTTGCTGCTTTTCTGGGCCTGCAGCTGAACTACAACCAAGGCCTAGATATGATCTGAAGGGAGGAAGATAACAGGCTGGACTCTAAACCTCCTGACTAGCTATCTGAACAGTCAGGGGGTCCAAACTGCATGGCCAGCAATACGCTGGGGAGGAAAGGTTATTCTGGGGCCGAGGGTCTTGTTTTCCAGTTCTGCTCCTTGCTAGGCATCCACGGCTTTCTGCCCTGGTGAGTTTCTGCCCCTGGCCCATCGTCCTCGCTCTGCTCATCTCTGTCGAACTGTCCATAACAACAGGATTTACTAAAACACAATGAGAGATGAGAAGAGCCAGATGCAGTAATTAACATATTTCTATGAAGTGCAAGCACAGTACCTGGATCCTGATTTACCCAATGTTCCCATCTGTTGCATCAGCCTTCTCTGCTGATGGTGTGGTTACTAGGCCCACAGTTGAAGTTTGCACAAAGGGTTCCACAGACATACAAAAAAAAATCCCCTGTGCCCATGACACACGCTTGCTCTATCACAGGGATATAAGGCCAAGTGTCTTACATGTGATTAGCCTGCTAAACAGCAAACTGTTTATAGTCCTTTTGTAGGCAAAGCATATGTGGATCCAGAATGAACCTATACTTTGCATCACCAATGGGTGATCAAATTTGGGGGTGGAAGTGTCTGCCCAGAGGTGACATGAAAATAATTTGTTCTTTCCATCTTTTTCTATGTATCAGCTACACTCTGATTTGCTACATCATATTTCTGTTCTATTTTTGGCATGTCTCACAGGTTACTTGCCTACTGTCTGTATTTAATACATTTATGAATTCTGCCCATGTCTAATTGTTACTTATTTATACATTAACTATACTTAAAACATCCTCTAAGTTTTGCCTCTGCTATATATGTTACTTGCTTACTTACTATCTGATTAGTATTTCTTGTGTGTTTTATCCATTCTGTTTACTGCTTGTATTGCTTTTTAAAATTTTTATGAGAGAATCAAATAACCTCAAACAATATAGTAAATACATCAAATTGTGTGTGCACATACATATACATTAGCATAAAATTGAATTGATTTTAAAATTGCCTGGTGCTGAGGTCCGTATATCATTCCCAAGTGTCAAATTAAAGTTTTGTAAATTGAAACATACCTGAGAAAATTAAAACAGATTATCATTTACTTAGAGTCAGTAATTCCTAATTAAAGTATAAGAACTTATCGTAATAATTATTATTGGGTAGAGAAGCATATTTAGGTACTTAATACATTTGTGTTTTTCCTCTCCCTGCTATATATGTGCCAAGCCACTTTGATATTTTACCTATAAAATATATAAGACTATATACCATAAAATACAGAATTGATGTGTGTGGCCTGAACTTGAACTTCTATTCTTGTGACTGAGAGAAAATAACTGCCCATTTCTTTACTGCCAAGACAAGTATATATTCAATTTGTTTAGCACATAAAAAAGTGAGTGAATGAAAGAATGAATGACAGTGAGTTCTTTAGCACAATATTTGCAAAGTACTTGTAATTAAGTTATCCTAAAGTAATAACTCTTCTACTTTGCTTACAGGGTGACTGGGTCAAATCATGTAAATCTCTTCACAGTTTCTTTCTTTGACTCTATCTGCAATGCCATTGTAAAGACTAAGACAGTACATGTGCAAACTATATTTGTTATACAACATAAACGGTGCAGTACTTGCTCTTAGGCAAAATTTGATTAACAATAATGTTCAGTTCTATTATTGATGTTTGTCTAGTTTATTCTCCTACTTTACATGTAATTGTGTTTCTTGATTTGACCTTTCTTCAGATCTAAAGTTGATAGGTTACCTTTGTTGCCTTATCATGTGTACCAATCGTTGCAGTTAGAATTGTCAAAGATTATTGAAAACATTTGTTTTTAATATATCTCAGGGCTAAAAGTATAAAATTTTAAGGATAATATAGCTAGGATCCATTTGGTTTGCAACTGCCATTAGTAATAATAATTATTATTTTCTAGAATAATTACTAGAATTATTATTATTATTACTACTATTATTGTTATTATTAGAAACTTTTCCACAGCCAAAGAACAATTAAATCTGTTTTGACATATTCCCAGCACCTGTATGTCCTTAGACATATTTCTTTTCCTTTGACCAACTTCTTTCTATTTCTGAATATTTTCACAAATACTTCATTGCCTAACTCAGCTTAGCCCCTTTGAAACCTAAAACATAAAACCCAAAATATTACATTTTTACTGTCCTGCCGTCTCCAACAGCCTCTTTCCTCCACTTTACTCTGGAAGGCAAAAACAATTTTGCAGAGGGCAACCCAATTTGGTCTTTAACTTTGTGAGGTGAGAATCCTGGGGCAATTTCTAGAGTTGGATGTATCCCACTTAGCTCCAGCATCCTGTTCAAACGTAGAACCGTGAATTTCTACCCCCATTTGTCTCATCCAAATGCACATATTAAGTACATAATGCAATGAAAGCAAACTTACTGTTCTATCTTCAATTGTCCTTGCTGCTGCTGCTTTTCTGCTTTAATGGCCAATTAAACTGTATTTGCAGTAAAGGTTCATATAAGAAATGTTCTTACATACTTACATATTAGTCCTTCAGATGATAGGGAAATCATTAACAATTGATCCTAAAGCAGTGCTTCTCAAAATTGAATGTGCAGGTAAAACACCTGGGAATCCTGTTAAAATGCAGTTTCTACGTCAGTAGTTCTGGAGATTCACATTTTAACTAGCTCCCAGCTTTGGCCACACTTTGAGTGGGGAGGCCCTAGAGAGTAAAGATTTAGTAATGATTCTACCCCTTGCAGAAGGCCCAGAGCAATTTATCTGTTGCCTTCTCTCCCAAAAAGCTCCTCCTCTCCAAGAAGCTTCTCCTCTCTTTCTCTGGAATCGAACCTGGGACACAGGCCGACACTCTATCTACTGAGCCAAACCAATCTACATTCTTCTCCTCTCTTTTTTTTAGGGCATAAGGCAGAGGGTTTTTCAAGAGGTACCAAGAGGAGAGATAAAGAACTCTACTTCTCTACTTGGACACAGAGCAGTCCAAGTAACACCCCAGAGACTTAAAATAGTGTACAAGTTGGGGAATAATGATGCGTTCCAACCATAAAGTGAAAGAAAGGATGGAAGGAGATGAGGTTGGCGGAGGTTGGAGACAGGGGTCCCAGGCTGTCCTCACATGGAAATCATTACAAAGCCTCTCTTTCCCACACTCCCTCTTCACTCTCTTTCTCCCTTTCACCAGGTTCATCTATTTGCTTTAAAATAACCCCTCAATTGACAATTGAAAACAATTCAGGCCTTAGTCAGGATTTTCACCTTTATCCTGAGAACAATAGGAAACCATTGGCAGACTTAATTAAATGAATGGTCAGAGCAGGTTTTCTGCTGCATTGAGAATGATCTGAGAATGAATGGACAAGAAAGATTTGGACAGAGCAGTCAGGTGGGGA